TTGTTTATAAGATTATAGTATAATTAACTCATTTTTTATACTCTTTTGGTATGTAATAGTAAATAATACTTAAAAAACACTTATGTCTTCAAAATCAAATGAAATTTTGTTGATGTATTGTATTGTTGGTGAACTTGAAAGGAGAAGGTATAGATTAAAATTAAAAATTATATATTTTATTCTATATATGTATAGAAGTATCTGCACACTATCAACATATTGTATTAATTATTGGATATTGTTTGGTGTTTTTTTCGGATTGCGGGCATGCCAAAATTCAATTAGACTTAAGATTCAAATATGTACGACCTTACCTATTCGAATCGGTGTGAGGTTCTAAAATCATAACTGTTCAGGCAATTGTAACAAAGAGTAAATTTACTTTTGAGTTATTTTTCATGCCTTATGGTTCAAGAACTTTAAATAATTTATCGACTAAAAGGGTAATGAACTGCAAAATAACAAATAGGCTAAGTTTGATGAAACACGTACCGTACTTAACATTAAATGAAAATAGTAAAAGATCACCAGAGTGATGGGTTACAAGAAAAGTAAAGTTCCTTAGAAATAAAACAAATATAAGTATAAAATAGGCTAACTTTGTGTATAGTTTATTGTGTTTGATCGTAGATCCTTTCTTTGTGCCTCGACTTTTGTTATTTATAGGAATGACCTTCAACCGTCCAAGTGATCTTTTTCGGCCATGTGTTCCAAGAATGGGAAGGAGGAGCAATCGATGTGAGATTTCATAGGAGTTGTCTTTATGGGCATTAGTCGAGGGAGGAGAGCGAAGCGCCCAAAAGAGATTGTATCATGGTGTTTCCCTCGAGATACATAGACATGTGTCAAACCGTTTTCAATTAGTGGCTTATGATGTCACCTCTCTTCACTTCTAGAGATTCTTCGAGTCCTACTTTTCTAACTGTTTTGTCAATTATGAACTCTCAAATTCTCCTCATGACCATTTGATCTCTTACACGTGTTACCTTCTGATTTTACTTATTTTTGAGTGTAAACAGATACGTATAATATTTATCCAATAAATATCTTTAAATATTCGACGAATATAATATCCGATACAACTCCGTCCATGTTGACGAAATTTCGGTTCTTCATAGCATCCAGTCAATCAAGTGGTGTGTTGAAAGAGTTGAGCTTAGTATTTGGTAGTTAGTGTGTGTGTCTGTAGCAAAGCAGCCATTTTAGTTGAACGCTTCACGAGAGCAAATGTCTTGTAATTTGAATTTTTATTTCCACCTCCACCCCCTTCATTTCCTCACATTTTCGCCACTTTCAACTTCTTAGTCTTCATTATATTTAATCATACACACAATCTCCACAGAAGATGCTTTCTTGTAGAAATAGTTTCTTATATGATGCTAATCTCAACAAGCAAACGACCTTAAAGTAACTTGGTATTAAAAAAATAATGAAAAATTATCGACCGATACCTAAAAAAATTGACCTAATGATGTGTCGTTATTGTGATCGTAACTCTTAAACTTTTTAATTAGGATTTCATCACTTCACGTATCATTATGTTAACAAATTTGATCAATTTTTTAGATTCCAACAACATTACTTTTAAAAAAACTGTAAAAAAATCATTGCTATTTCCTCAAGTAGTTAGATATCATGATTCCTTTTCCAACAAGAGATTGACTGTTGGACCTTCAAATTTAACATAAACATAAACAAAACAAAGTCTTCATTGTGAGCTAATATCAAACATTTGTCAATGGCTAAATGGCCTCCATTGGTTTCTTGCCCCTTTTGAGTAATCAAGGTTATAAATAGTTAAAGTTCTTGATTAAAGTCAAGTTGGTCATGGTTGTCAAAGCAACATTGGAAAATACAATACGGTTAGGTTGGGTAAGATTATTGCACAGAATGAGTAACACGACAAAAAAGTTAATAATTTTTTTGGGTCGAGTTATAATTTTTTACGTCAAATTACAACTCAATGAGGTCAAGTTACGACCGTAAAAATCAGAATTGATCCCAATAAATCTTTTTATTGTAATTTAACCTGATTAAGTTTTAACTTCATCTTTATTTGATAATAACTAGAGTATGATAATGAAAAATAATTTTTTCGATACCGCATTCTTATCTGGTTAGGTTTTTACTCTCTTCTATTTCTTCTAAGAAAGCGAAGTAAAATTTAACCACCTAATCCTGGTACTACTCTAAGTTTCTTATGTCATGGCAAATATGTTTAACAAGACTGTATATATAATTTATGCAACAGAGAGTGAGTTTGATACTTGGATTTCCATGGCTTGGTCAATAGAATATGTAGTTGGTAGTAACTATATGGAAATGATGGTCACAAGTGGCAACATCAGGAAAGAGATGTTTTGTTTTCTGGAACAATTTTGTAAAATCATATGCTTTCATATTTCAAGTGAAAACCAAAAAATTAAAGCTATGCCCATGAGAATCAGTAGTAAGATTTATCCATTTTGATCTCAACGTCATAAAGTTTAAGTCGTAAAGTGATTGAATTAGCAAAGTAAATTTGACGGACTCCATACTGATGAAAAACTCGTGTATTAAACTGCTTCTATCCTCTATCCGTAAAAATAAGTATGTTTTGATGTAAGCAGTGGAAATTTCATGAACAAATCCTCTTCTAGAAGCACCAAATTACATGGCAATTGATTTATCGAGTGTTCCTCTCGAAATCCACAACTCATAACCTCATAATTGATTGAAATATGTGGTTTTTTTAGGTAAATTTCAGTTTGCTTTCTGAAAGATATAAAAAATTTTAATTTATTTTCTGAATGATTAATTTTTTTACACTCTTACTTTCATTTGATATCTGTCTGTTTTATGACTTTTGATTCATTGATTTGACATAAAATAGAGAGATGACTAAACAAAAATAAGACGGTGGACTATATTGTAACTTTTTTTTTTATTTTTTTGAGGGGCAATGTGAAAAAAATAATCATTTATGGGATAAATTGAGATTTTTTGTATCTTTCAGGGGACAAAATGAGATTTTCTTGGCTTTTTTAAAGCACATTTGGTAGCAAGGAAAACATCATGTTTTGTGATGGAGTAGGGAGCTTTCTCTTATCATTGCAGCCCCTAAAATATCATGACCTAATGGCTAGTGGGGCATGGCCACATTTGTCAACTTCTTATTTTGCCAAGCAAGTTCTCTTGTAGAAACTTAGAAGATTCCCTAAAGTTTCACTGAACTTGTACAAAAAGATGTAGGGAATCACACAAAGGGAACATGCAAGTTATGAGGTGAATGCACTCAGCTAATGGGAACATGTCATGTGAATATGAATTAGACACTGGAAAATGCTATTTGTCTTTTAATTTAGAAACCTAAATGCGGCATAATCAATTATAGTTGTTAGATTCAAAATAAATTCTATAAAACGTTTAATCTCCTCGCACCAGACCTTCTTCCTTGCATACAAAGGATGAGCTTCACCCTCATTAGAGTTGGATTAAGCACAAAGGAGAGGATACAGGGTTTATACCCACCAGAAATTAATGTAAATGGAGTGATATTGCATACCTTGCACATAAAGCCATGAATCTCATCAAAAGCTTATGTTTTGAATGTCAAACAAGAATTTGGAATCAATTGATGCAAAAAGGTGTGGCCATTCCATTGCAGCTGTTGCTCAGAATTGGAGAGGGAAGTCATTGCTCAAGGCATTGCAGAAACTTGTGCTTTCACAATTCTTTTCTGAAGATTATTGTGCAGACCATTAATGAAAGTCTAGTTTCCTTTAAATACAAAAAATCTGCTCAAAATTTGACTCTAACTAGAACAGAATGCATAAATGCAAAAAGTTAAAAATAAAAAAATAAAAAAATCCCCACATCCCTTCCTTTCAAAGCAATCTTTACATGTTGAGAAAATAAAAATATGAATCTCACAGTCTCACTAATAAGAAAAAATTTTGTATGCGTTTAACACACCATTTAGACATTGTCAAACACACGAGTTGATTTTTATTTAAAAAAATCTGATAAAATAACGAGTGAAGCTCTTCTTGGAAATATACAAATTTGGATCGGTTATGTACACCATTTAGACATTGTCAAGTGATATGTTTAACTGTGGCGAAAAAATTTTACAATTAGGGTTGTCAATGTGCACTGTGCTATCATTTAAGTCTAACAAGTGTTTTTTTTTTCAACGGTCAAAGATGTTCAAATCAGTTTACACACATTTTGATTAATCTTTTCTTCAGTCTAATTAAAGAGAAACCAATTGTGCCGAGATTAGAGTATTCATGAGGGATAAAAATTTCTCATGCCCAACCCAAAGGAATTGCCAAAATTCAAAACATTTGAATTTACGGCTTATATTTATTACCATTTGAATTACGTTGGTTAAGTCTAACAAGTTTGGTTAACATAACAATCAGATTAAGATCCTATAATGTAAATTAATGAAGAAAAAACACAAATTCCTATCTAGGAGCTTTGAATTTTGGGTCCGTTAGAGTGTTTATATTCTCCTTATATTACCGAAAAATCTTTTGGTAATCAACTCTCTCTCTCTCTCTCGATCAACCATAATTATCTTTATCTGTTTGCAAAGTATCATCATTCAAAACCATCAAGTGAATGATACTGATTCAATCGGGTTACCCTTTATAGATGTAAGAAGCAAGAACGTGAGAATCACAGAGGTCGCCAAACTTTGAAGTAATTAGAACTTCACATTACAAGATAAAATCATATTAACAACCCCAAACAATCTTTCTGAACCCAAATACAGTAATTAGTAAAGAACAAATACAACCCAAAAACCAAACAGGTTTATCTAGTAGTGATCCCAAAATTATGTACAGAACATGTGAATATGTGCTGTGCGCATATTTACCTATATACATGCCTGCATGTATCGAAATGGCTGTGTGTACTTATAAATCTACGTCTAAGTAGGGAAACACCTACTTGAAAAACTCAATACTATGACTAAGATAAAAATTACAAAAAAACACCGACTTTTATGACTAAGGTATCTCATGCATAATAGGTTCTTCAAATAGTAGTTCAGGCCACCAGGAAGAAGCTGATCCGCCATAGCTAGAAGGGCTGTTCTCATCTCCTGGATTGCTTGTTGAACTCTCTATCAGAGGTGGCAGAGTAGAAGAAGACCCAGAAGAAATAATCCATGGAGAGTTAGGTGGGTTATCTTCTTGGCTGACCATTGTGAAGTTATTAGAACCTTGGCCCATTTCAGTATTCAAAGGTGTTTGGAAATTGAAAGGGACCTGTGGGTCTGGCAATGGAGAAGAGTTGATGGGCTGGTGGAGTAGTTGAGAAATGCCATTTTCAATGGAAAATTGTGTTTGATTCTCCATTAGAGAGGAATTTGAAACTGGATTTTCTTTGATGGAAGGAATCAAATTCAGTAAATTGAGTGAGTCTCTCTCTAAAATGCCAAAGTGGCTGTTTGGACTGGGATTTACTGGAGCTGTGGAGTGAAGAAGATATTGTAAGTACTGAAGCTTGGCCAATTGAATAGCTTCTGCTTGTAACTTTGCAGCATGTTCTTCCAGTGGATTGTGATCAATGAGGTTAGCAAGAGCAAGGAGATGAGGCAAGGTGGAGAAGAGGTCAGTTCTTGGCCTGTGAGTCATTGGATCAAAACCCATCTGAATCAGCTTCTTCTTCAAATGGGTGTTCCAGAAATTCTTGATTTCATTGTCCGTCCGGCCCGGTAGGTGTGAAGCAATTGCTGACCATCTTTTAGAAAGAATTAGACAATTATGAGTTTCAATAAAGAAAATATGTGAATTTAGGTATAACTTTACTTCATGGGACCAAAAAGAAAAAGTTGATGAACTTACTTGTTTCCAAGAATGGAATGGAGATGCAGAATTGTTTGCTCTTCCTCTTGAGAGAATTTCCCTCTTTTGATGTCTGGCCTCAGATAGTTTGTCCATCTTAGCCTACAACTCTTGCCACACCTGTTCAGACCTGCAGAAAAGCAAAAAAAACATGTTAGGGAAACATGCATCCATGTGTGTGTGTGTGTGAGAGAGAGAGAGAGAGAGAGAGAGAGATAGGTGGAGGTGTTATTGGACCTGCAAGCTTAGGTAGGGCTCTCCAACTTCCATGACCATGTTTTTGGATGTGTTGAACAAGCTTCTGATCTTCTTCAGGAGTCCAAGGACCTTTCTTGAGGCCATTCTCAACAGAAGGAGACCTCCCCATTCTATCTTACTATTTTTTTTTCCTCACTATGTGCAGTTAGCTGCTTCTATCTGTTACTACCAAAGCCAAGGCTTGTTATTTATACAATCTTCAGCCTTGCCTCTTCTCCTTAATTAATTCTTAAAAAAATGGTAGGATTTGACATTTTCTCCCATTTGGGTACATAGCTGGAGATGCTTAAAACACTGATTTAGTTTATTAATTTGATTAATTACTATCATCGATTTAATTATGGGTCCTAGTAATATTTTAAATTATTGTCATGAATTTATTAATTTAATTAATCACTATCATTGATTGAATATAATATTTTAAATCTATATAGCATTACTATTTATTTATTGACATATTTAACCCCCTTACCCCCAATTAGCATCAAATTAAGTATAAAATAATAGAGTCATCAAAAGCAGGTTTGCAAAGGCAACGAGAAAAATCACCCAGTTTTATCACCAACTATAGTTGTCATAATCTTTTTGGTATGTAATCTATATATATATATATATATAGTAGCCCCATGTCTCTATTAAAGTCGATAATATCCCTTGACATATTAATAAACAAAAATATCTGTCCAAATGTGACATTTTTTTATCACATCTCATAGAAAAAAAAACCAAAAAAAGAAAAAAAAAAAAGAAAAGAAAAGGAAAGGGTGGTATATATATTATTTGGTCATATTTTTTTTTCCTTTTCTAAAAATTTAAAAGTAAAGGAAAGACTAATTTTTCTCACTTAAGTAGTCCTAATCCCTAAATTAATGTCATTGACAATAGTCTAGGACACAGCTGGTAATATGGTAAAAGAAAGGACTAGATTTGTCTGTCGGTTTAGGCTAGATATTGACCCCTTCAATTGTTGTACACAACGAGCAAGATGATATGACACGTGGTGGAGCTCTACTGGTCAGAGGAACCTATTTCATGCGCGCAAACAAGAGCTCATCCCGTCATCTCTTTCATGGCTTCACAATATTACTTACGTACGCATTATGTATATATAATGTATTTCTGATTTATTAAACTTCAATTGTACCGAAAAAAAAGAAGAAGAAGAAATCTATATAAAATAAAGAGTATATTGCGTAATATGGTGTTATTTTGTGGGTCTAATTTGATTTTTTTCTCTTTTTTTTTTCCTGGTAAGTAAATGATTTCCAAAAGAAAATATACTTTAAACTAAGTTTTTTTTTTATTTTTTTTTAAAAAAACTTGGTATAAAGTAGAAGTAATTTGACAATATCAAACATTTTTTAGCCCATCAAGCAAATTATTTTTGATCATGTATTTCGCTCTTTTTTGTTAAATCTCACGAGTCGTGTGATTTCTCACTTCGATTTGATGAAAACAAGCAAGTAATTAAAAAATTCAAAAAAGTCGTTGATATGAGAATACAATTGTGACATATATTTTTAATACATGTTCATATGTATGCATAACTATATTTTATGGAAAATGAGTGTATGACTAAAGAAGAAATTAACAAGTTGCTCTCTTGGAAAGAGACAGAAGGAAGATGAGACTCATTTGACCCAAAGGAGGAAGGTGCGGTTTAGAAGGGAAGTTGGTATAGCCAATGTACTAAAATCCTCACCGGTATTTGAAGACAATAAGACATTCTTATCATTGCGTGAATGAATGGGTGTACATGCATGTGTCAATATCTATTTTCATTGGTTATCTTTCTTATAGTTCTTTGTCAAATCTTCTACCATGTAGAACTTTAGTGTTTCTAAGTTCAAACAAACATCTAAAGGGCGGTTGGAGTGCTGTAAAAGCTGGATTTAAAATATGAAAATGAAAATGAAAATGAAAAATGAAAAAGACTGGCATACTTTGGTCATACCTTTTATATATATCTATATAATAAAATATAATATAATTTAAACATCAAAAGATAAATAAAATGACTTTTTTTTTACGGTTGATATCTCTTTAAAGTTACTCCAACAGTTTCTATTAACTCCCAAATTTAATAAGAAAAATGAACTCCCAAAAGTGTGTTTGAGATAATTTTTTAAAAATATTTTTAGACCTTACAATTTCTTATAAATATGTTAAACAAAAGTAGTGTTTGGAACTGTCTTACCATCGCCACCCCCACCGCCCCCCCACCACCACCACCACCACTGTCACCCCACCACTACAACTACCCCCACTACAATCATTGCCGTTGTCACCACACCATCACTTCTACCACAACAACAACCACTACCACCACTACAGTTGTCACCCCACCACCACCACCACCACTACCACCATCACCATCACCATCGCTACTGCCACCCTACCACCACCACCACCCTCACACCCTTTTCTCTGCCACCCCACCACCGCTGCCACCATCTTACCACCACCACCACCACTATCCCACCATCATCCCTACCACCCACCACCACTTGCCCCCATATAATCGGCATTTAAAATTTTTTTTTCTCTTCTCTATCTTTGTAATTTGATTTTGAGTGTGAATACAAATATGATTATTGTTGAACTTTTTTTTTAGGGTAAATTATATTTAGACCACTTGAAGTTTATCACTAATACACATAGGCCCCTTCAGGTGTGAAAAATAACATTGTCACCCCCTTAGATTTGATCTGTAGTAACATAAAACCCCTTGAAGGTAAAATCTATCTAAATCACCATCCAATCTCAATGACATGAGAATATTGTCATCATAAAATCCCTAAACTACCCCTAAACAACCATCAGTAAATTACCAAAACCCAATAAAATCTAAAATTTATGCATTTCCTCAAATACCCCACAAATTATACTAATTTATTAAAAAATACGCTCTTCTTTAACTTTGTGCATCCAACAACTAGGGGTGTTCAATTTTTTGATTGACCTCAATTTCCTACCTTATCTTACCCTACTGAACAGCTAGCTGCAAAAATAGAATAGGAATGCAAAAGAATTTTTGGTCTTTCGATTAAATCGGATAGAAATACAGAATACCTATCAATTTTCACATTCCTACCTTATCTTACCTACAAAAAATATATTTAACTTTTTTATATATTTTTTTAGTAATTATAAGAGTATTTGTGTGGTATAATTTATTTTATAACATTGTTATTGTTGTGGATGGTTGTGTTGCAAAAACATGAACTTATTTTTTTTATAGGTTACATGATTTGTGGTGAACTGGTGATCTATTGGAGCAGTTATGATTTTAATGTGTTTTATATGGTTTAAACTTAAGATAATTGTTATTGTATTTGTGTAATAATTATGATAGATTGATGTTCATACTTTCTTATGTTTTATTGTAATTGTTGTTGTAGTTGTTTTAGGTTTTAATGTTATTGATTTATTGTATTGTTAAATTGGTGCATATTATTTAATTGAATTATTGAAATGATCCAAAAATTAATAACTACAAAAGTGTTTATCCGACTTCCTACCCGACTAATCGGATAGAAAGTCAGGTAAGAATACCACACCTGATCAGGTAGGGTAGGTTAAGAAAAAATTCTTTCACAAAGCATCGAATAAGAAGACGGAAGACTATATATCCTATCCGTAGGGTAGGGTGAACACCCTTACTTGCAACTCACCAGATAAACTCTCCCACCTTGCCCACTCCCTCCCTTCTTCCTTATCCTGCTAAAGAATGACAAAAACCAAGATGCACTGAACTCCAATACCCAAACTCACCACTCCTTCTGGTACCTATTGATTGCAGCCAAAGAATCAAACACTCCACTCCAACAGCACCAACCCCCTCCCTCCCACACAACCTTGGAATCACCACGACCCACCTCAGCCACTGAACACCATTACCACCTCAACCGCAACACCAACAACTACCAGTAAGCATTCAACCTCAACCCACTAATCAAAAATACAACATTAAACCTCACAAAATCAGCGACACCATCACTGATATACACAACTAACAACGAGATAAACCTTCAAATTCAAATCAACAATTAATGCCTTCAATTTTACTTCAGTAATTTCGGTGACCCAAAACTCTGTGTGTGTTTGTGTTACAACAAAGAAATCAAGAGATGATGCAAAAAAAAAGGTGAGCTACTTTTGTGTGAGTGTGGATTGTTGTGTGTGTGCGTTTGAGCATGTGTGAAGATCATGAGAGACTGAAAGAGAGGAAGCGCAGGAGAGGAAGAAGATGAGAGGGGATGGGTTTCATCAGGTGTTGGCAACTAGGTATGGTTGGGGTAGACACTTGGGGATGAAGGATGGAGGGTTGCGTCATTGGTGGAGCTGATAAAGTGGTTGGAGGCATGTGGGTGGGCATGGTGGTTGGTTGAAGGTGGGAAGGTGGCTTTAAGGAAGATGAAAGGTTGAGAAAGTGTTGGGTTATTTATAAGTGTAAGGTTGTTTGGATAGGGATTGGGGCAATTCTATGGTTGAAATAAGTTTGTCCAAGGTTAAGTTTGTTTGGGTTATTGGTAAGGGTTAATTAGTCTATTCAGTCTTTCCGTTTGTGTCGTTTGCAAAACGTTGCTGAGAAGGAGTGTTAGTGTAAATTATCATACCTGAGGGGGTCTCTGTGTATTAGTGACAAATCTTAGGGGATCCAAATATAATTTATCCTTTTTTTTATTACTACGTACCTCAGGTACGAGAAATAACTAGTACATTGATATTGGGTGTATAGGTTTACGTCGACTGTTTACTTGAATCTGAATACTAATTGCTTTATCTCGAACGAGTTTAGAATATGTTTTTTGAAGAACAAGGGTGTATGATTAACTTTTTAAGAGGTATGAAAAATGTTGAATCTAAGATTTCTGAGCTATTAGATATTAGATTAACCATTGAACCAGTTCCAAAAATTAAGGTTGTACCGTTATATTAAACTTTAGCTTGTAGTAAAATTCGAGGGAAGTAAATATTAAATATTCTTTTTTAGTGAGAATTCTTACGGAAGACTCTTCTCACTGTATATGGACATCTAGGCGATCCATCTAATCTCTCTCTCTCTCTCTCTCCTCTCCTCCACAAGCAATGTTCTAGGACCATAGA